CTTAAGAATCTTGATGTAAATGTATTGATGTCTGTCAGATTTTATAAGGCTGTGATTCTTTACAGTAGGTGCCTGTGGCTTGTTGGTGATAAATTTCAACAATAAACAAATGACACACAATTCACTTGTTTTAAAATAATATATTTAAAACAAGTCAAATGTATGTACAAAAAATTCTTTACACTATAGGTTATCACAGTTGTATCCAGAGTTTAAATAATCGTCTCTTTTTTTTTTTTTTTTCAGCAAAGTCCACATAGGTGGGTTCAATTACTTTAAAACACTCTTTGACAAGAAAAATCATTCTCCTCTGTTATATTATTACAGTACAATCAGTGATAAATTCACCTACATTACCCCATTGGTTACCTCAGTTGTATCCAGAGCTTTAAATAATTCTCTTTTACATCAAAAACTGGTTCAGTTACTTTAAAACCCAAATGAGAAGACTAATCATTCTTCTCTACTCTGTTATCACAATACAATCTGTGATTATAACATTTTAAAAGTCTCCACTATATATATATACACACACACACGTATATATTGCCCAACTGAGGCCTAGAACTTTCTACAAACTACAAGATGTTATGATGTAATAATACTCTCTTAACCCATTAACTGCGGATGACAGATATTTCCGTCATTGAAGTTCTATGGCTCAGCTGCGAATGACGGAAATATCCGTCAGTCGCACATACATAACTGTATGCGAATGATGAAAATTATTATGATTGATGGCAACTCAGTTTTATCTGTGGGCTAGAAAATGGCAACTGAGTTGCTCCTGCCACAATTAATGGGTTAAAGTAACAAGAAAACCTAGAAGGTTTGAGTAACTTGATGTTAATTCACAACAATTGAACTACACAACAAATGATTCATAAACAATTGCATAAGCAAACCTGTGATATATTATCATTTCTAAAAATACTAAATTTAACTCATGTTTTATAACTATCTAAATCATAACTCTTGTATTAAATTTAAATGAAGCAGTCGGGTATATCCAACAATATTACACTATTTTCATTCATGTAGAATATTTCTCTCGGCTATGTAAATATTAAAAAAAAATATATGTATATATAATAGAAAATTTTCACTTAATTCCAATAAAATATTAAAATGGTCATTTTGTTCAAAGCCATCTCCTTTTGATATAAAACTCAGTATTAAAGTTGGTGTCATGTCAACATTTATCGTGCTTTTGTAAGATCATTTATATGTTGATATTAATAATATAAAGCAAGAACTAAGAAATTTTGATTTATTGGAAATTAAATTTCAGGTGCAGTTTTGTACCTTAAGTCAGTATTTACTGTCATGATGTCAGTAAAACATGTGCATGCCATGAATTACAAGAAGAATTATGCACTCTGTAGGCTACAACACAACATGAAATATGAACTTCAAAAGCAAGAAATAAAAACATTTCTTACCCTTAATTTTGGTTTTATTTACTCTTGAAACAGAACACTTGGGAATCCTGTGGAAGTACATCTAGCATTTAAGTATTCAGTGTAACTTGAATATTCAGTGAATATCTTTTCCAAAGTTTTGATCCACAAAATAGTCAGAATTACCAGACAGTTGGTCAAATTATCTACAAAAACATTAACTCATTGTGGGAAAAAAAGTCCCATGAACATCAATGAATAAAAAAAAAGAAAGAAAACATTCATTTTCAAGAAAAGCAATGTGATAATCTGTGAATAGAAGTCAGTGTCAATAATTTGAGAATGTTGTCAGCTCATCAAGTTATTTTTACATAGAATTTATTGTATTGATAATTTTTTCCTTTTTTGTTGTCTTCTACTTTTATACAGTATTAAGCTTGTACATGGGGGAGTTATCTCCTTAAGGCATGAGCCATGGTAGCAATGATGGTAGAGAATCTCTCTCAAAACATGAATGTGGGCCAAGGGTCTCAATTTCAAGTCTCAGACATGGTAGGTTTTGTAGCATTATGATTTGTTAAATTCATTGGCACTAAATAATGGTCACCCCGTCACTAAGGGTCAACTGATCTGAGTAAATGGAAAAAAAATCAAACTATCTTGTGTGCATCCTTGGTTCAGCAACTAAGTCAGTGTTGTATATGTTGGCAGCTTTAGGATGTAGGGAGTGCACTTGCACTGTGGGCCATGAATTTGCTTTATGTTGTTGGTTTGAAGTTATTGGACTGTATTGAGTTCTGTCAGTTGTAAGCTTGAGGAGAAAACTTCATCAGAATTATGGAAGAGGGTATGTGGTAATGGTTAAGATGGAGAGTTATCTATATGGAACTGAAACTTTGGAAGTACTGGTTCCTAGGTTCAAACCTGAGTCATGACAGATTTTTGAACATTCTAAGTCATTTAGTGTTAAACTGAATTATGGAAGTTAGTGGAAAATCTTCAGAACCTGTATATGATGGATGATAAATACTACCTGATTTGAAATAATATACAGTGAAACCTTGTTAATCTGAACATGCTTGTAATAAATCAATTTGTCCAGATTACCAAGACATCCAGATAGTCGAATCAGTCATTTTGAATACAGTGGACATTATAAATAGAATGCATTATTGATTGATAAACGTAAAGGTTCAAATTATTACAGATCGGCATGCAATTGATAAACAAAAAAGCAACTGTGTGTACAATCAACTTATCAGTTTATTATTCTAAACATTATCAATAATTACACAAGTTGTGTAATCAAAGTGCCATTTCATTATCTTCACCTGAAACTTTTTGTTCAAACCAGTTAATTGCCTACGGAATATGAAATACAGAGTATTAATCAATTATACAACAAAGTACTTTCCAAAGAAGGATATAATCAGTCTTTGTTTGAACTAAAAAATTTTTATCTTGAAGCTTCTTTATCAACTTTATGAAAATAACACATTACACCATCATTTTTACATAAATCATTAATTTGTTTTGAACTATGGGATGATGTCATTTTCCAGATCAGATTCACTTTCACTGCACTCTTGAAGAGACAATATGAAAATTATATCTTCATTAGACAACTCTTGACCAGTTGGTTCTGAGTAGAATGTTGGGTCATTGATGATGTCATTATTACTCAAGATTAAGGTATGAATTCCATAAACAATCTCACTAATGGTTTCTGATATCTCAACAGTTTCACTCTGTTCAGGCTGTGACAAAATTTTGACAAGTTTGAAGTAGTTTTCAAAAGTTTCTATAGTAACACTGGACCACGAAAAACCTACCATTTGTAAAGCCTCGTGGGCATTTATAGTTTGTGGGTTATTATTTTCAACACATTCTGTGTATTTTCTAATCAGCTGATGGCAGTAGTAAGCCTCGGATGACCTGATTATGCCAGAATTCATAGTCTGTATTATTGATATGGTGTTTGTTTTTATTAGACACATTTTGCTTTGGTGCAGTATTACTACCACCAATTTCCACAAAATTATTTTTCTCTTTTTTGAGCACGTTCTTCAGTTCAAATCCTCCAGCCATTCTGACAACAATTTTGATGTCATACAGACTTTCATATTCCACCTGTATCATGCATGGACAACAAAGTTGAAGTCACTTCTAAAGCCTCTTGGTAACTTAGATTTCACAGTTACAAATGGCTACAATGTGTTGCTACCATTTATTTTGGTACACAGAACAACTGATATGTGACTATTAGTTTTCTTTGTACTTTGAACTTGCTGGCCTGCCAAAAAATAACTAGGTCCCAACCTATAGAATAAACCAGCCACATACAATATTGAGATGTATCCCATCAGAACCTTTCATAGATCTTCTCTACCTGCAGCAACTACATTTTGATTGGCACTTGCTGCTTTACCTTCCAACTTTGTCTTCTTTATTCCAAAATGTCCTTTGAAACATTGTGGCCATCCTAGGTGTATCCACGCTCTGTTACACTAAGCTGTTGTCTGTGTTGATAAGCATCTTCAATAAGCATTTTGTCATAAATGCCCACATTTCTTGATATAACTTCACAGTTCCAGAGATACAGAGGTTGCTCCATGTTTGCATGCTTCAAATTTCTTGCTCTTGTTTGTTGACCTGAAACTTCTGAAACATTTCTCCACTTTTCTCTGCTGGGAAGAATGTCAGATGTGGTTGACTAACCCGGGAGAACATTTCTTTCTACACCGAAATGCCTACTGATGGTATCAAGGCTTACACTTGGATTTGCTTTCTTGTATAAACAAACATCATGTTTTAATTATTTTAATGTTTCTATGCATCTTTGTTTTGGAGAACTGTGGCGTAACGTAACTGTAGTAATAATCACTCTGATGACCTCTCAATATCTGTTATATTTTTTGTATATCTGTCTGTGAAGGTTGTTCTTAGAAAACTTATTATTAACAAATACTCATTTGTTAGTAAAGGTTGTTTTTGGTCAGTAATTATTACCTTGTTTCCTATTCTGATCAACCCCTACTTTCATGGAATCATATACGGATTACTGAATCTTGTATCCATGGGAAGTGCGTATTAGTTATAAGAAATATCTGTTCAGCTTTGAAATGTGATTATACGGATTATTAATTCAATTTCCTATTCTGTTAATATGAAAAAAATCATAGGTAGTAAGAATAATCTGGACTAATTATGGTTCATTATATATTTATCAGCCATATTCCAGTTAAAATTACACAATTTCTAGTTTTATAGTATTCCCTGTATTCTGTTTGTACATTTTATGTTTAAAGGTAATTGTAGTTTTTACACACACTTGTCATATAGATTATTAAAACAGAATGGCAGTATACATTTTTATCTTTAATTCAAAATTCCTTTGACCTTTACATATTGGATGACTTTAGAAAAATGCATATTTAACATTATCTCGAATATGCAGCTTTCACTCATTTAAGCATGTTAAAAAAGTTAAAATGCCTAAGAAAATGTTTACTCATAGGTAAGGTTTTTTATATTTTGTACTTATTTTATCAGTACATGCATGTATTGTGTGTTGATTTCCTGTCTTTTTTTTTTTCTTAGTCACTTCGGAATTTTCTTGGACATGCCTCTCATCTCAGCAAGTTTGCTGCTGGTTCTATGGCAGGTAACAAACTAAGCCATTAAATTACTCTTTTATACTGTGTTTTAGATGCCATGTCTGTTTTTATTAAGGATTTCACAATGAACCTTAATCCTACATGTCTGGATGGGGGTTAGAGCACAAATGCCACGTTACATTCAGAATTTAATTACATAACTTTATTATCAATTTATGTGAATTAATGTGGTATCAAATGTAGTTTATAATATAATTCCAATCTTAATTTCTGATTTTATAAATGAAATATTTGAATAAATTCATAATTTTTACCTCTGCTCTGAATTTTCCACTTTAGATTTCCTTCCTCCCTTAGTGGATTTTAGAATGTTGACCAGTTAGAAAACACCAACTATAGATATTGATAGGCCATAATTTAAAATGAAACCTTCACACCTTCTTTATTTTCTGAGATACCAATAAATATATTACACTCTCAACAGAAGCTCTTCCCAACTCTTCATATTTTAATAATTATTTATTTTCTTACACTTATTTACTTGTCATTAGTATATGTTTATGATCACTAGAAAGGCCATTTTGTGAACTAATTGATTATGATGTCTTTATGTTAATTTATTTTGGTAAAGGACACCATTTCCCAAGCAAGTTTTATTGTGTGAAGACCAAAGTTGGTGTTTTAGTAAATAATGACATTTTTTAAACCTTTCTGTAGGTCTCTTAGAAAACCAGATAAATTATAGTATTTTTGGGCATCCGTTTTTACTGTTTGAATTATTGTTTGTGTTTTAAAACACATTTGAAAGCATCACAAATTATTTATTGGACAAGCAACTTAGTGAGAAAAATTTAGGCTTAATGAAGGCTGCCAAATAAGAGCAAAAGTTCTCAATCCTTAAGTAAGTGCTACATTTCTTATTGTCTATGTAAATTATAAACTTACTAGGCTAGACAGAATATTGATGAATATTGTTATTATCTTGATACAGTACTAAGAAATATGGAGCTTCATGTAATTTGTGAATTCAGTAATGTTTTGAAAGTACAATGATAATTTTAAATCTTTCCCACCGATCTTAATGATGCCCACTTTCACCTATTATTGTAGAATTAAATTGAACAGACATTTTTTCCTTCATCAGACATTATTTTTTGTTCAAGATCATTTATGTGGACAGAGATAGACATGGTCTGACGAAATGGGAAGGGGAGAAAACTCTCAAAATTGTTTTCAGAAATAAAAATTTGTTACAGATGAAAATAGATTACAAATAGTTTTAAATGTCCCAGATTCTGAAATTAATTTCAGTTTTATCAGTTGTGTTTTATCAGTCAACACCTATATAATTTTACATACATTTTTTTCCCCTCAGAAAATAAAATAACTCAGTTTCTAATTGATTGATCAGTAACTTGGTGCAAACTAAATTATAGAAGTATTGCTTCAGTATTTCATGAAGTGACCAATTTGTACTTAACTGTTCTAATCATGTAATCATAAATATATATGGTATCTGTCAAAATATTTCATGAAATGACCAATCTGTATATTAAGTGATCTGTAATTTTGACCATTGAAACAAATTAAAGTGGCAAAAGTCCAATGTTTGCTGATCATTCTAGTTGTAAATAATATGAATATTTAGTGCCCCAAAATGGCCTAGAATGCTCCAGAGAACACATAGGCCCTCAGACCACTAGGACTTATCCCTGGATTATACTTTGATATGGTTGGCAGTTTGTTTCTGCAGCTTTTATTTATCACAAAGTCACATTTGGATAGAAACAACAACCTTAAGCACATTCAAAATGTGAAACATGTATACAGTGGTTTGCTGTATGGCTAACTTCTTTGTGAAAAGTCCAAATATAATTTTCAGGATTGGCTAGGCTGTGAATTAATTGAATAACTTTTTTGCTTAACTGATGTGGCAAGTTTGAAAAATCATGTTTTAAATGTCCCAGATACTTCTAAACATTCCCTGAAAATAAATGAGGCTATGATACTTTGGATTTGTCAGTAAAGTTCCATAGCTTGTTACCAAAGTCTAAAGTATTTGGAGTAATGCCCCCCAGTGGTAAGTCTGAAGGCTTATAACACTAAAAACTTGGTTTTGATACCCATGGTAAGCACAGCACAGATAGCCTGTTGTGTAGTTTTGAGGGTTTACTTAAAAATGGATCAGGGAGAGTTCTTAAAAAATTAGTATCAGTGAGACTTGATTTTGTTATTTTATTCGTTTTGTATAACAAATGGGCTGGGAGTGGTATAATGGTTAACCTGTTGAGCTGTAGATTGAGATGTGATACTGCTTTACATGCTTCACACTCCATTGTGGGCATGTTATCAAAGTGACAGTCAATCCCAATAAAGCTAGATAAAACCACTAATGGCAGGAGTGGCTAGCTAACTGTCTTCTCTCTGGTCAGTAGTTCCAAATATTGGAAGGCTGTAATTGAATCATAGGGGTCTCTGACCTTGCCATTTAGCCCACATGTACATAAGATGCCATCAAGTTCAAATCCAATTCACAGAAAAAGGCCCAAAACTATGTGTGATACCATGTATTTGCTGTTATAATTGTAGATGGTTTGTAGAGGTTAGTTTTATTAATTTTCTTCATTTGTAAAATAATATTTCTACTTTAATAGGAGTTACAGCTGTCTTGTGTACCTATCCCTTGGATATTGTCAGAGCCCGACTTGCTTTTCAAGTTGCAGGAGATCATATGTACAATGGTATCTTGCATACTCTAGTGTGTATATTCAAATCAGTAAGTTATTGTACTAGTAATGTATTGATTATTTTTAAGTGCATCTGAATCAATATGTTTTAATGTGCGGACTTACATATATATTAAACATTCGTACACAAATGTATTAATAATTCTTTTATAAAACATCTTACCTAAAATGTTTTATTTGTTTGTAAAGTACTT